TTTATGAGAATCAAAGAGGAAATTTGGGGATTTTTGTCAAAGTTTTGAAAAATAAAAAATTAGGTTTTGAGAGTCAATTTGGACTCGGATTTGAAACAAAACACATATATGGACTCGTGGGGTTATGGATAGTCAGAATCTACCATTGGACCCGGATTTTGATCGGACATGCCCGGGGTTGACTTTTGGGAAATTGTGTAACGATCCTAGCTTTATCTATCGTAATTAGTTTTCCTTGCATTGTTTGATGATATTAAGTCATTTTTGGTTAGATTTGATCGGTGTGGAGGTGAATTTTAGGGGTAAAGCTATTATCGAGGGTTGATTTGGCCTAGTTGAGGTAAGTTTCTTATCTAACTTCATGTGGAGAAACTACCCCTTAGGATTTGGGTTTCTTGTGTTACTTGTATTATGTGAAAGATGTGTACACGACGTGACGAGAATGCACATGGTATATATGTGGTATTTTGACCAGTTTAGACCTTTAGACTTCTTCCATGAATTTAATTGATTTATCATAACATGTTATTTCTTTCATTGTTAAATTTACTCCCACATGCTCTATTTGACGTTGTTAGACCTTGTTATATTTGTTATTGTTACGTTTACTCTTACATGCTTTAGTTGAAGTTGTTACCTCTCTTATTGTCTTGTTACTTATCTTATTGTTGAATTACTCTTTCTTAAAGTTGTTATTTTTTGGGAATATCTTCTTGTCGGATTATTGATGCTGAAGTTGTGATAGCTATTATCACATTGAGGCTAAAGTTGTTGATTGTTGAGTATTTCTCATTCATTTTGCTATCATTGAGATTCTTGTTCACGTTGTGGTTGAGCTGTGGGCTATATGTTATGGTAACAATAGTACTATTGATTTGGCAAATTGTGGCATATGGGCACACGTGGTGCGTGTTATTATTTTGTTGTGATATTGATGCACAAGCGGCGGTATAATGATAGGGGTTGATGTGCATGCGGTGACATAAGGTGGGATTTATGTGCGTGTTGCTAGTAAGGGAATTACTTGAAGCTACATGGCGATATAAGGGGGCTAAAGCCCGTGTAGCTATTTCGGAAAAAATATTTTCAAAAATATATAAATGTAAGGCTAACGCGGCGATATAAGGAAGGATTGTGATCAAGATTGTGAAATGTGAATATGAGGCGTGGCACCTCGGTTGTGATTCTTGTTGTACTTTCTATGTTAAAGAGGCTTGTTGCTTGAACAATTTTGTTATCTCTTCATTTGCCTTACTTGTATTTGTCTGTATTGATTTCTTATTGTTCTTATCATTTGTTCATTCGTTGTTAGCTTACGTTATTGAACTGCTTATTTTCATTCATTTCATCACTTTCCATTATTAGACTACACTATACTCTATTTAGTTTTTCTTGTCCTAATAGATGTCTTGGCCCGGCCTCGTCATTATTCTACCAAGGTTAGGCTTGATACTTATTGGGTACCATTATGGTGTACTCATGTTGCGCTTCTGTATATTTTTGTACAGATCCAGGTACATCTACTCGCGTTGGACGCTAGTGATCAGTCAGTCATTTCTGGAGACTTCAAGGTATACTTGCCCGATACTCGCAGGCCTCGGAGTCACCTTCCGCCATTTCCTTATTACTGTTTATCTTATTATCAGACAATGTTGTATTAGATATTTTAATATATTTCTATAGAGCTTATGACTCAGTATCACCGAATTTTTGGAATGTTGTATTGTGATTATGTATTTAAGTTATTATGAGGATTATCAGTTTATATCATGATTTTAGTTGTTATTTCTGTCATATTCTATTCTTTGATAGGTTTACCTAGTCTTAGATAATAGGTGCCATCACGACATCCTAAAGTGAGAATTTAGGGTCGTGACAAGAACTCAAAAGTTCGACCCGGGCTCGCACCTCGGAACCCGACCAAACTTACAAATTCCGAATACTCATTCTGATATGAGTCAAACCATACCAAAATTATCCAATTCCGACCTCAAATCACATTCAAATCCTCAATTTATGATTTAGGAAAGTTTTTACAAATCTCCCAATTTTTTCAACTCAAATCACTAATTAAATGATAGAATCAATGATGGAATCATGATTAATGAACAAAATCGAGAAACAAAAAACTTACCTCAATCCAAACAGTGAAAATCCCCTCCAAAATCGCCCAAAACCGATCTCTACAACTCAAAATCTGTTAAAATAAACCAAACCTTCGAAATAGAGTATTATATAATCTGCCCAGTTACTACCCTTCGCAATTGCGGAAAAGTCGTCGCGATCGCAAAGAACAAATTCCACCAGCTCCCTAAACCTCTTACGCGAACGCGAGGCAACAGACGCAAACGTAATGACCAAAAGTCCCTATGCTTGGCGATCGCGGTCCAGTCCTCGCGACTGCGCTGAACAATGCGTGCTACCACACAGCCTCACATTCCTTCTATTCGAAAGCGGTCCCACACTCACGTTCGTGATGAACAAAGATCCCAACGCTTCGCGAACGCGAAGAGTAAAAGCCCACCTCCAATTCTCGCGACCCATTCTCGCGATCGCGAAGAAGGAAACAAGAAGCATAGAAATCAGCAGTTCCAACACATGAAGAAATGGTCTGACACCCATCTGAAATACACCTGAAGCACCCGTGATCATATCCAATCACACCAATCAATCCTAAAACACAATAGAACTTACTCGAGGCCTTAAATCACACCAAACAATATCAAAACTACGAATCATACCTCAATTCAAGCCTAATGAAATAATAAACATTCAACTTCCAAAACCAATGCCGAATCATATTAAGCCAACTCCAAACGAGCTCAAATTTTGTATGGAAGTCCCAAATGATATAACGGACCTATACCAACTCCCGGAACCACAATACGAACGCGATATCAATAAAATCAATCCTCGGTCAAACCTATCAGCTTTCCAAACCTCAACTTTTCAATTTTCGCCAAAAGCATCAAATCCACCTACAGATCTCCAATTTAGCATCCGGACATACGCCTAACTCCAAAATTACCATACGAAACTATTGGAACCATCAACACTACATTCCATAGTCGTCTACCAAAAAAATCAAACTCCGGTCAACTCTTCCAACTTAGGCTTCCAACTTTGAGACTAGGTGTCTCAATTCACCCCCAAAACATTCCCGAAGCCAATCCAACTACCTCAGTAAGTCACATAATCACAAATAAACATAGAAGAGGCAATAAATAGGGGAACGAGACTACAATATACCAAACAACTGGCCGGGTCGTTACACAAAATACACGGGAAAAAGGAACATAAATTTCAACCAAGGCAGTAGGTCAGCACACATGCACTTTCTAAATCCATGAATCACAAACTCTCTTTTTTTATCAGTAAAAGATAATTTTATTGATAACCCACAATAAGAGTATGTAGTGTTGAATGTACAGAATAGCTAATCATGGCTTCTACATAATTAATTAAAGACATGTTATACCAAAAAGAAAGGAAAATACATTAGTATTTGGCTACTACAAGCTTCTTTTCTTGTTAATTATCTTCTCCAAGTGGAGAGCACCGACTAGTTTTGGAAGCATAAAAGCGCGACATATTGTTCAACTACAGTCTACACACTATTCTACTACAAGAGTACAACCACCCAATGCTGGAACTGAACTCTACATAATTAGTACAACTCTTAGAATCAAAAGTAAAGGCTAGATTAGAAGTACCATGTCAAATATTTAAGCAATTTATTAAGGGAAAAGGGTCAAATATACCCCTCTACTTTGGTATATTGTTTACGTCTATCCTCTGTTGTACTATTAGGCCACATCTACCCTTACTGTTAGCCAAACTTTTTAAAAATACCCTCCACCTAACGGAAAGCCACCAAATTAAAAAAAAATCATTTTAAAAAAAATACATTAACCCACAACCCGTTAAATCCATCATATAAAAATACGGAACCTAGATTTCTGAGACGTCTTAACACATTTTATTCATTTAGAGAGAGTGAGAACGATGGTGGCAGTAGGATTAGTAAAATTTATATTTTGGTTCTTAGTTGTTCATGGTGGCATTAGGATATCATGTTATCACTTTCGGTTGTATTATTGTGTGGGTATAATATGATATCCCTTTGTCTAATGTAATGCACACTTGATAATTGGTTTGTATGTTGGTAACAACTGATATATACTTTAACAATACTTGTGTTCGGTTAATACAAGAAGTTAGTGTACTTGTGTTGTTAAGTTATTTTTCAACTTGTTGGTGTACTTTCTTTTATTCTTGATGAATTCCTTAGACTGTAGATTGATCTTGAATTGAATCTCCTCTAATTATTTTATAATTTTTATTCATTATAAGTTCAGTTGTTACTAAGAATTATGAGTATCACATCCCATAGCTTGGACTCTAACTATGGTTCTTAAGGCGTTATTTGGCGATAATTACTCGTAGCCTAAATGCTTAAAGTAGAATAAGAAAATCATGGTGCGTAAATATTTATCAACAAAGGCTCACTATTGGAGGAATAAATACCTTTGTAGTTGCCTTAAGACTTAAGAACTATCAACCTAATAAGATACTATAAACATTCAAGTCATGGTGGAAAGAAAATCATTGTGGATACTCGGTACAGTTCGACATGGCAGAAAAAAACAAAGAGAAGCTAGAAAAAGAAAAACGAAATTGGTAAAGGTAGAATATAATAAACATACAATAAGGATATTAAAAGAATTGTGACTAAATATATAAATGAATATATGATTGTTGGTATTTTTATATCTTTCACTTCTTGAGTTCAACAAGTGACTACGAAAGAGATGACTAATTTGTGAGGAAAAGGTACAGTAAATAAAAGGGGTTTAACGGGTTATTAATGGATTTTAAAAAAAAATAAGTCTTGCTTAAATTTGGTGGCTTTCTGTTAGGTGGAAGGTATTTTTAAAAGGTTTGGCTAACGGCAAGAGTAGATATGACCAAATAGTATAACAGAGGGTAGATGTGAATAATATCCAAAGTAGAGGGGTATATTTGACCCTTTTCCCATTTGTTAATGCTCTACGACATCCAAATTTGAGGCTAGTGACCAGAGTAAAGATGCGTGAGGTCGTCATGTACTAGAATCAATCTTCTTGTAGAGAACCCAGATTTCTTCACATAGTTATTATTACATTGCAACATAAAGATATGTCAAAATGTAAGCTTTTTGCATAATCCCTTGTCAATATTTTTAAATCGATTTGCAGGCCTCCTAGGAGCATCGGGGCAAGTATCAGCAACTCTACTAAGACGAGGTGCACAGCTAGGTGTCTTGTATCCATCAGAATCTGAAAGTGGAGTTGAGGCTTTAGCATGAAGACCCTCTGTTTGTTCTGAGGTAATAACTTCTAGAAGAGAATTGTACAACGATTCAAATAGCATCTCATCCTCTGAGACAGATCCCATATTGTCTGTATGATCAACATTTCCATCGAAATTCAGCAACTCCTCAAAGTTAAGCTGACGCATCACTTTGGTTCGTGAATCTGTAAAATATTTCTTGCACTGCGGGGCAAGCAAGAGTTCATCTGGTCCAGGAGCAAATGGATTACAGACCAACCCCTTTGGAGTTCGTGGACTTCCTTCATTTGAATAAACCAGGTTGCCATATTGTTGAGAATTGAAGCAAAGAGTCCTCGGAAGAGAAGACACTGGTGACCAGCACACATCTACGTGGTCACCACCTTCTCGGATGGAATCAGGAGTGACTGGACCGAGAGCATTAGATGGTTTTGTTGGCAATTGAGGCAATGCTCTAACAATTTCCACTACTGGAGACTGATAACAGCCCTTCAATTTCTTAACAATGGAATGCCGAGACAAATTATTCCCCTCTTTTCCATTGGCACTGACATAGGTGTCCATTATTCCTGCAGTATTCACTAATGAACATAGAGTTTTGATATGAAGAGTATGCTCGATGAACCAAGGTCTAAGTAACAGAAGGAAAGCATAAACTGTAAATAGGTAATTGAAGGATTAGCAATTTATCTCTCATGCTCTGATCCAACTTATAACCCCTCAACCTCCTATATGATTTCTTATCACATGACCAGCCCATAAGAGAAACCAAATGTTAAAAACAGACGTGAATAGCATCCGAGAGTTCCAAAGTCTTTTTGATTAAAACCAACCCACTCCCAGCAGTGAAGTCTCACCAAGTAATAGGATTGTTCCCAAAATCACATTCAGATATTGATCACTATTCAAATATAAAATCCAAATTTATGACAAAGTTACACTAATGCAGATAATCTCATTACAGATGCTTCCAGAAACTCTGCATAAGGCAGTTGTTATATCAATCAACGACCACCACAAAGATTGTTTATTCAGATAAAACCAAGGAAACAATAACTTCATGTTAAAATAAAAACCAAAAGATTGACACATGGTTTATATTATGCTGTAAGTTGAACCTATTGGGCTTAAGAAAGGAGTGATCATGACCAAAAAGTCATTAGACCTCCCAAATGCTGGGTTGGGCAAACTGGATTATGTACTCAGACTGGGCCCATGTTATGTTGCTTATGTGCCAAATATTTAAGTCGTGGATACGAAGTGAAGTGTTTTTTGGCTCAAGAGAGGCAGCAAAGTTTTGAGAAGCACAAATATATAAGCAAGTGTGCTTCAAAGAGGTCAATTTATGGCATGGAAGAGAAAGAACGGGGGAATAATAAGTGAGGTGAGAGGTGTTAACATAAAAATGTAGTCTTTTTTATGAGGAACTTAAAAATATAGTCTTTCTTGCTGAGTCATTTACTTTACCTCCTAATTCCTGCAAGCATTCAACAGAAAAGGTTGGTTATTCTCTTTTGATAAGTAAGCTTATTTTGTCATTTTAGCAGGTTGACGAATAAAGAATTTGGAAGGCTCCAGAATTCAAATGCAGAGAAAATTAATGCAGCAAGTACACAAAAAAAAAAAAAAAAAA